GAATACACCTCCTTCTCAGAACCTTCTCCAAAACTGAATATATATTTGGACACAGAAAAAGCCTCAACAGATACAAGAAGATTGAAATAACCCCTTGCATTCTATCAAATTACCACAGACTAAGGCTGTGGACTTCAACAACAACAACAACAACAACAACAACAACAACAACAACAGAAACAACAGAAAGCACACATACAGGGAAGTATGTCAGGGAAGAAATACATAAAAAATTTAAAGATTTTCTAGGATTCAATGAAAATGAAGACATAGGACACCTATACTCATGGGACAGAGTGTTAATTTGGGAAAGCAGTATTAGTAGGAAAATTCATAGCACTAAGTCCCTTCATAAAGAAATTGGTGAGATCCTATATTAGCAACATAACAGTATACCTGAAAGCTCTAGAACAAAAAGAAGCAAACATACCCAAGAGGAGTAGATGGCAGAAAATAGGCAAACTCCGGGCCTAAATCAACCAATTACAAACAAAGAAAATGATACAAGAAATCAACAAAACCAGGAACTGGTTCTTTGAGAAAATCAACACGATAGACAAATGCTTTGTCAAACTAATTAAAAGACACACAGACATTATCCAAATTAATAGAATCAGAAGTGAAAAGGAAGACATGAAATTGAGGAAATTCAGTAAGCCATCAGATCTTACTACAAATGCCTATACACAACAAAACTGGAAAATATAGACAAAATGGATAATTTTTTAGACAGATATCTACCACATACCAAAGTTAAATCAAGATCAGGTAAACTATCTAAACAGTCCCATAACCTGTTAGAAATAGAAGCAGTCATTTAAAAACCTCACACACAAACACAAAAAGCCAAGGGCCAGGTGGTTTTAGTGCAGAATTCTACCAGTCTGTCAAAGAAGAGATAATAATACAAAATATTCCTCAAACTATTCTAGAACACAGAAACAGAAGGAACACTCCTAAATCATTCTATGAGGCCACAGTAACCCTGACTCAACAAGGAAAGAGAACTAAAGACCAATTGTATTTATGATCATTGATGCAAAAACACTCAACAAAATCCTCACAGACTGAATCCAAGAATACAACAGAAACTTTCACCATGATCAAATAAGCTTTATCCCAGGGACATAGGGATAGTTCAGTATATGATAATCCATCAATATAATCCACAAATCCAAAGAATTTCAATATAAACAAACCCAAGGGGGAGGTAAAAAATCACGTGATCATTTCATTAGATGTTGAAAAAGCCTTTGATAAAATCCAACAACGCTTCATGTTAAAAGTCTTGGAGAGAGCAAGGATTTGAGGCACATAACCTAAATGTAATAAAGCAACATACAGCAAACCACTACCCAACATCAAATTAAATGGAAAAAAAACTTGAAGAAATCCCATTAAAATCAGGCTCAAGACAAGACTGAACACCCTTTCAATATCTATTAAATATAGTCCTTGAAGTTCTAGTTAGAGCCAAAAGACAACAAAAGGAGATCAAAGGGATACAAATTGGAAAGGAAGAAGTCAAGGTATCATTATTTGCAGATGATATGATAGTATACATAAGCAACCCCCAAAATTCTACCAGAGAAGTCCTAGAGCTGAGAAACAACTCCAGCAAGGTGGCTGTATATAAAATTAACTCAAAGAAATCAGTAGTCTTTCTTTATGTGCATGATAAATAGGCTGAGAGAGAAATTAGGGATACAACATCCTTCACAATACCTACAAATAATATAAAACATCTTGATATAAATCTAATCAAGCAAGTGAAAGTTCTGCGTGACAAGAACTTCAAGTCCCTGAATAGGGAAATTGAAGAAGATGTCAGAAGATGTAAAGATCTCCCATGCTCATGGATAGCAAGGATTAACAAGGTGAAAATGGCCATCTTACCAAAAGCAATCTACAGATTCAAAGCAATCCCCATCAAAATTCCAACACATCTTTTTATAGACCTTGAAAGAGCAATTTTCAATTCCATATGGAAAAACAAAAACCAAGGACAACCAAAACAATCCTGAACAATAAAATAACTTCAGAAAGAATCACAATCCCTGACCTCAAGCTGTACTACAGAAAAAATGTGATTAAAAAGTGTGTGGTTTTTGTACAGAGACAGATCAATGAATGCAATAGAATCAAAAACTCAGAAATGAACCCACACACATATAGAGAATTGATTTTTGACAAAGAAGCCAAAAGCAGACAATAAAAAAGAAAGCATCTTCAATAAATGGTGCTAGTTTAGCTGGTGGTCTGAATGTAGAAGAATGAAAGTAGATCCATATTTATGACCCTGCACAAAGCTCAAGTCCATGTGGATCAAGGACCTCAACATAAAATCAGATACACTGAATCTAGTAGAAGAGAAAGTGGGAAAGAGCCTCAAACTCACTGGTACAGGGGAAATTTCCTGAATAGAACGCTAATGGCTCAGGCTCTAAGATCAACAATTGACAAATGGGACCTCAGGAAACTGAAAAGCTTTCTGTAAGGTAAAGGACAGTGTCACTAGGAGAAATCAGAAAACTACAGATTGGGAAAAAACTTCATTAATCCTATGTTCAATATTCAAAATACATAAAGAACTCAAGAAGATAACCTCCAAAACAACAAATAACTCAAAAAATGGGGCCCAGGAGCTCTATTACAGGACAGGCTAGTTACCTCTTTGTGAATCAGAGAGAAAAGAGTCACTCCTACAGAAAACATACACACTAGATGAAAGAGAAAACAGCTACATCACAACATTTAGATGGATGGATGAGGCAGAGCTCCTACCCTCAAGCTACTAACTTTTACTTTTCTTTGGCCATTTTATACTTTCTTAGACAAAAGTTCTTTAGATAATTACCTTGTAAATTAAATGTTATACAAAATGGGAGTTACAGAACACTATCAATAACAAGTTTAAAGCAACACTTCATTCTATATGCTCATTATAAGCTCAAAGCAACAGTTTCCTATGGCCTTGCCTTTTGATAGAGCACACTGAGGACTGCTGTCATATGCAGGTGAGGGCAGGTGAAATATCAGGCTAGAGTCTGGGACTGGATAATGAAATAGGAAGCTGAGGCTAAGAATTTCAAAGAGAGAGAGGACAGGGGACAGGCAGGAGAAAGACAGAGAAGAGGAAGGACAGAGAAGATGGAGGAAGAGGACGAACCAGATCCATGTGGCTTGAAATAGCCACAGGTAGCTATGAATATCATAGAAGACCATAGAATAAAATAGGGCAATTCATCCAGTCTAGGTGGGCAGCTTCTATCAATATCAATTGGCTCTGAATTCACTGTGTAGGCATTTGATGGGTTGAGAATTTACTGTTATAAATCTGACTGATAATTTACAAGCCTCTAGAGTTTTGATTTACTGGGTTATGGGATTTGTGACAGCTAGCCACAGGGGGCAGATGACTGGGAATGTGAGAAGGTTTGGGGGCAAGCCCATGGGGATAACCATGGGCATGGGGAGTTCATCGAAGTTGGAGAGTAGCCAGCAATAGCACCGTTTGATTTTTAATTAGTACATGCAACAGCACACCTGTGGTTTTATTCTTGCACTTGAATGATTTTTCTTGAGCAAAAATTTATCCAAGCAATTTTCTCTTTTTAGTGTAACTATGAAAGTTCGTTTGATTCTTAATTATGCATCATTTACTTACTATTATGAGGAGTGGGTATATTCTATTCTTGAGTCTAACTTTATCTTTCTAGCAAAACAACTAAAATCTGATGCATGAAGTATTAGAAAAATACTCTCTCCTCCTCTTCTTCTCTCTTCTCCTTTCTCTGGTCCTCCTCTCTCTCCCTTTCCCCCAAACTTTTCTGGTCCACCTCCCCTTCTACTGCCCAACCACTGGCTCTAGGCTTTATTTTACAAATTAAGGTGGACAGAAGGTTCACAAGAAGTCACCTGTATACTGATTCACTCCTCCTCTGCAGCCCAAACTGGGAAAGTGGAATTAGCATCAAAATACAAGACCAGAGCTATCCACAACAAAAACCATCTCTTAAAACTTTCTTCCTATGATTATTTGAATCAAATCAGAAATTATATAAAATCATTAATTTAACTAAACAGGATTAGTTTGTGAAAGTTTGCCTTTAGTTGATCTGTAGAAAATCTGCTCAGTAGGGTAGGCTAACGTCCAGGGATCATTATATTAATTTAATAATGAGAGGAAAGGCATATCAGCTGCAGGAAGCAATCCTGAGATGAAGCCTCGTTGGGACCTTTCTGATAGAGCTCACCCATCACAGACCATGCAAAAACTGTGGGCCACCTTCAGGAAAGTCACCTGCTAGCCTTTAGCCTATCCTAGATGGCTCCTGACACTGAGACTGTCAGATGGTCTTGAGGAACATCAGAAATCTGCCGAATATGGACAATGAGAAATGTCAGTTTAGCAGTATGGCAGCACCCCCATACTATTTCAAAGAAGATGATGAGCATTGAAAAACATCCTAATGGGATTTGCTGCAAATGTGACAAGCTGTCACTGGGCAAGAAGCTGCCATTGCCTCATTTAATAACCGTGTTCCTTCCAAGCTGTGCACAAGCAGGTCACAAACAAAGTCAAATGCCCAACAACCAGGACAGGTAGAGAAGTCATTCTTATTTGTTATTTCACAGAAAAAAATTGTCACATACTGTGGGCCAATAGATTGAAGATATAAATGTGCCAACATTGTAGAGGAATCTTGGGTAGGTATCAGGTGACCAGCAGTTCCTAAACTTTCTATAGTTTTGGAAGCTGCTTGCAGTACACTTCCTGCTTATTCAGGAAATATTTTTCCTTGTCGGGTCTCTGATGTGGCAGAAGACTAGATAGTTGTAGTCTCACAGTTAAGGTTAACTTGTTTAGAATTTAAGAAAATAGTTTAAGATGTAAAAATATGGTTTTAGGTTGATAAATCCACGTTATGATAGAAAGTGATTTAAGTACAGTGTATTTATCCTAAAGCAAGTTAAAAAGGAAAAAAAAACGAGTTCGTCTGGTGGCGGCTAGGCAGTGCAGCTCCGTGACAGATCCGGCGTCGCACGCGTCTCCCACCCCGCGCCGCCACGATGCCCAAGAGGAAGGTTAATGCAGATGGAGCTGCGAAAGCGGAGCCCAAGCGCCGCTCCGCGAGGCTGTCGGCCAAGCCTGCCCCTGCCAAGGTGGACGCGAAGCCAAAAAAGGCCGCGGGAAAGGATAAAGCAGCAGACAAAAAAGTGCAGATAAAAGGGAAGAGGGGAGCGAAGGGCAAACAGGCTGAAGTGGCTGACCAGCAAGCTACAGATCTGCCTGCAGAAAATGGAGAGACGGAAAACCAGAGCCAAGCCTCTGAAGAAGAGAAAGAAGCCAAGTCCGACTAAGCATCCATCGTGCCTGTCAGTGGTCTCTGCCTCCCTTCTTGTACAATCCAGAGGAATATTTTTATCAACTATTTTGTAAATGCGAGTTTTTTAGTAGCTCTAGAAACATTTTTAAAAGGTGAGGGGATCCCACCTCATCCCATTTTTTAAGTGTAAATGGTTTTTTTAAGAGGTTAAATCATTTGCTGGTTGTTTATTTTTTGGTACAACCAGAAAATAGCAGGATACTGAATCAGGAGAGGCTGTGACTGTCTCGGGGGGGTCACCATAACATTCCGTAGAGGGGGCTAGTTTTATATTCTTCAATACAAAGCATACTAAATGGCAATTTGGAGTCTCAGTCGTGCATTTGTGTCTGGAATATTTTCAGTTATATCTGGTCCCGTGTTTCTAGTAGAACCGTTTTGTAAGAAAGCCAGTCTTTGGTCCTTGCCCTGTCAGAACTGTGATGTCTGTGGTCACGGCAGTCCATTTTCCTAACAGTTATGATAATACGCTGTGAAAGATGAAAATTTTGAGTGTGTTCTGTGTGTGGCATAAAATTGTGAATTGGTGGAACTGAGGATTCTGAGCATTTGGTTGTTATGAGAGGTCTTGGGGAAACTTGCCAAGTTTGAGGCTAGAACATCACTGGAATAAGTTCAAAGAAAAACAGTGTGTAGCTCTTCATTTGCATACATAAACACAATGTGACTCTTCAGAGTTTGGGTACGTGAACACAATATATGGCTTTTTGGGGGTACGTGTGATAAGAATTGGAATGTGTGTACTCTGCTCCAATAAAATCTGTTGTGAAAGAGTAAAAAAAAAAAAAAAGGAAAAAAAAACTTGAGTGTGTGTGTGTGTGTGTTGTCCAAGGATTCAGGGAAGCCAGGCTGATAGCACTGTTAACTCCCTGAGTAAATTCGGGTAGAGCATAAAACTACAGGCAACAGTACAGAACTTTGGATTCAAGAAGATAGAATATACAGAACACTTTCTCCAAGATAACCAAATAGAAATGGACTGGACAGTGTGAATGTAATTCTTACCATATAATATGTTGTTTATTTATGTTAGCAGAAGAGTCCTTTATTTAAACAAAAAGCGGGAAAGTTGCAGAATATTTGATCACATTTTGAGCTCCAAGATGGTGAGCTGGAAAAAACTTGTTGTATGACTCAGCCCTAGCACACACTTTTAACCCAAGAGCCAAATAAATTCAACCCTAGGTAAAGAGGCAGAGCAAGCAATGAGCTGACGGAGAGTTAACATAAGTAAACAGAAAGGAAGGATGTTGAAGCGAAGTGTATTTAAGATAGCATGGAGAGACAAAAAGCTTTTTCCATCTGTGATGCCAGTGGAGTAGGAGGGTCAGTTGGGTTCGTTCTCTGCCTGTCTGAACTAGCAGGCTGCCACCAAGGTGTCTGGTGCCTGAGTATTAATTCGTAAAACTGACTGCTGAGATTTTTGTTTTTAAAACAACAGTCTGTTTTCACTACTGGGTATAGCTTGAGTATAGAACTCAATGCTCAGGTCCCCCCACCCAGTAACAAACATCCTGCAAGAAAGCCACATCTACTCTAAAAGGCCACACTTCCTAATAGCGCCACTCTTTATGGGACAAGCATTTGAATACATGAGTCTATAGGGGCTGTTCCTATTTGAACCATCACAGCTATCCCAATTGTCTAGGCTAATCATCATTAGAGTGGCATCTTCTGAACGATGGTTGGGAATGGAGACACCAACCCACAGTCGGACATTAGTCAGAGAGCCATGGTTGGGAGTCTCCATCAGGTCTTCTTCTTGATGATTGGGGAATCGTGTCAAAGGGCAGCATAAGGAATTCTGGGAACCAGAGGGCTTGAGGACATTGTAAGACCCTGTGGAATCATTTAAGCAGGGCTCATGGTGGCTCAAAGAGACTAAAGTGGGAATCGTGGAGCCAGCATGGGTCTGTGCTAGGTTCGTATGGTTGTTGGCTTTGCGTTTGTGGGGCTTCTGACAGTCTGAGTGGAGGTGTCTCTCATCTCCTTCCAGCTTGTGGTACCAATTTGTCCTAGCCCACCCTAGATTTAAGGATGTGTACCTGAATCTTGTGAAGTATTAAATAGAAGTCCTGAAAGGCCTGTTCTTTTCTGAGGAGATACTGGGGGACAGATGGGTCTCAGGGAGATGGGAGGTAGGGGGAAGTAGGAAGAGTAGCTGTGGTTGGGATGAGAGAAGAAATATTTTAAAAATCCAAAATTGCAACAAACCAACAAATAAAATTGCAAAACCCAACAACTGCAGAATAATCTTCCTAATGAACATAAAAAATTTCAAAAACTTCAACTGAATTCCTTCTTAGATCATACTTTATAACTGACCTGTTTTCATGTCTATGACAAAAGGTTTGCTCTACTTGTACAAATCTTGTGTGTAATAAGCCACACTGAGAGAGAAAAACAGAATGCACACAATTCTTTACAATAGCTGCAGACAAGGCAGTTGTGAAACTTCACAATACCTGTAGAGTAAATTACAAGGAATGTAGGAATGGATGGAGAATCTTTTTCCAGGGTAAGGGCTGTGTATGACAAACCCACAGTCAATCCTCAGTAAAAGAAGGAGAAACTGAAAACAAGTCCTGTAAAATTTGGCATGAGGTAAGGATTCCTTATCTACACTGTAATGCAAGAATTGACTCAAGTAATCATTAAATAAATAAATAAATAAATAAATGATTAAAAAGACTACTTCTAATGTAATAAATGAAACAAACAAAAAAAAAGAAATAAGAGAATGGAAACTAGCAAAAGGGTAAAAATGGGGAAGGAGGAAGTTAGACTATTCCTCTTTGAAGATGACCTAACCCTATACTTAAATGGTTCAACAGCACACATAAAGATCTCATTTAATTTCAGTAAAATGGCAGTTTAAGCCTATAGAAATCGTTAGCCTTTTTTTTTTTTTTTTTTTTTTAGTTTGGTTTTTCGAGACAGGGTTTCTCTGTGTAGCCTTGGCTGTCCTGGAACTCACTCTGTAGACCAGGCTAGCCTCGAACTCTCGAACTCAGAAATCCGCCTGCCTCTGCCTCCCAAGTGCTGGGATTAAAGGCGTGCGCCACCATCGCCCGGCATCGTTAGCCTTAATATTACAGAAACAACTGACATGCTGAGAATGTAATTAGAGAAAAAAAGTCATCAGGACTATTTATTATAGTTTCCAGAAACAAAAAATACAGGAGCAACATTACCAGAGGAGGTAAAAGACCTGTACATATAAAAAAAAATTTTTTTAAACTTACCCAAAGAAGACATTGTAGGACATAAGTATATTACATGTTCCTGGATTTGCAAACATCACATTGTAAAAATGGCTACATTAATACTCACATGAATTAACCATGTAGGCCATTCTACTTTAAGGTTAAAAACCTAAGCTAAATCAGTAAGTGAAGGGATGTGAGATTTTTGACCAAGACATCAAAACCATATTCTGATACCAACAGCTTTTACAATAAACACTGCTCAAAAACTGGATGTCCAGTTATGAAAAAAAATGAAATGTTGCTCATCCTACAGAAAAATTAATTCAAAATCAAAGTCATTTATTTAACACTGAAAATGTAAAAAAACAAAAACCAAAAAACAAAAACCAAAAACCAAAAAACAAAAAAACTAATCCCCAAAACAAATGTACAGAGAAAACACACATGGTATCTACATTTTAGAAAAGCATTCATAATTCAAAAGGTTAAACTGATACTACATACGTGCTTGTTCATGTAGACGTGTATGTAGGAACGTAGGTGAAGAGGGGAAGGAACACTTTTCAGAGAATGGGGTAAATGGAGGACAATAATGGGAAAAGGGAGAAAGTACTTGATTCATAGGTATTAAATGTCACACTGAATATTGCATTTGGCATGAAGATTTAGTAAGTGTTCTCATGGCCATGATAAAATATGCACACAAGAGCAAGTCAAAGGTTTAATTTGCCTCATAGTTGATTGTCTACCATGGTCTCCTACTCAGCGTTCTATGCTATGAAGAGACACCGGACCAGGATAACTCTTATAAGGAAAGCATTTATTAAGGCTTCTTGACAGTTTTAGAAGTCTCGTACATTATCATTGTTGCATGGAGCATGCTAGGGAACATGGTGGAATGGAGACAGATACGATGCTTGAGAAGCAGCTGAGAATTCTACATTTTGATCCATAGTCAGTATGAGGACAGAGACACTGGGTCTGAGCTTTGGAAACCTCAAATACAACCCCCAGTGACAGACTTACTCCAACCATGCCATTCTTCTTAATTCTTTTAAAGAGGTGCTACTGCCTGACGACTAAGATTCAAATCTATGGACCCTGAGGGCAATTCTTACTCCAACCACAATGCATGATGGGAAAGTTATGACAACAGGAACTTAAAGAAGCTCATCATGTTCCACCCAGAGTCAGGAAGCAGGAGATAGATGAAGAGGTGTTCTCAGGATAGTTCCTTATACTGCAGCATTTCCAAAACACACTTCAAACCGCAATCACCTGATCTTCTGACATCAACTAAACTAATCAAGAAATAGCAAATCAACAATCAGAGGCTTGCTTCTCACATGATGCTAGAACTCATGAAGTTAACAACTGCAATACAAGCATTACTTCTTGACCCCAGTCTGAATAAAACACATACATAATTCAAAGCGTAATTTAGGTTTATTTTGTCTGGGCACATGTATGTATGCATATGTGGCAGCCCATGCATGGAGATTGGAGGACAATGTTCAGAGGTAATTCCTTCTTTGTATTTTGTGTATACTTGGAATACTAACATGGCTATGGGTCTTGTTGGCAATTCAGGTTTTTCCCAATGCCATCATGTTAGCTTTAGTCACAGTTTTATTCTTAACATTTCTTCCCTTTCTCCAACCTCACCTCATAAGCAAAATAGGCTTGAAAGGTCCAGAGTATTTAACAATGGCAACACTATGAAAGGCCGGAGTCCATGTCACGTGAGACTCAAGCAATCTCTTAACTGTGATCTCCTACAACATAAGAACAAGTGACTACATTTACTACTCACTGGTCTAGAACAAATGTTCTGATTCTAAAACAGAAAAAAACAAAACTCAGAAAGGATGCATCAGTCTCAAATCCAGAGAACAAGCACACAATCTGACAACTGTACTTTGGACATGATTGTGTGAATGATTCCGAAGGCTTTACTTACCCTTAATCCTATATGGTTTCTATTCAGTAGGAAGCGTTTGATAACTTTTAGGGTTTAAAGATATGTTAACATATTATGAATATTTTAACATTTGTATTATTTCAATGGAGTTAAAACCACCTTATGGTGAGAAATATAAGAAAGTTTATTAAAGGATTTGCGACATTTTTCACATGTAGAGTCTCGTATGAATTATAGGGTTTTTCACAAGTTCCTAGTAATTACTAAAGACCTTGGCACATTCTTCACACACAGATGAATTCTTGAATGTTGCTTAAGACCAGAAGACTGGTAACAGTTTTTGCCTCATTCTCCACAGTTGTAATATTTCTCTCCACTAGAAATTATCATGGGTTCAGACCATGCTATGGAACTTCTAAAGTATTTGCCACATTCTCTATAGATTTGCATGGTTTCTCTCCAGAGTGGGTTTTCTCATGATCCCTAACGTTTTTGTTGAGCATTTGGACATATTCTTTGCATTTGTCACCACACTGTGAGTTAATTTCTGTAAATATTGGTATATATTTGTAGAGAAGGCTTTTCCACATTCCTCACATATGTATGGTTTGAAAGGAGTAGAAAGAATCTGGCAAATTCTAAAGGAGTTGACTTGTACTTAACAATTGTAGGGTTTCTCATCTGTGTGAATTCTTGTGTTCAAAAAGTGATTATGGACAATAGAAGGCCAGGCTACATACTCCATACTTGCAGGTTTCCTCTCCTGTATGACTTCTCTTGTGGTTAGAAAACAGTGCTTGACATTGGAAGTCCTTGTCACATACTTCACACTAGTATGTTTTCTCTTTTGTATAATTTTTTTTTTAGGCACCGGGCAATATACCAAAAGTTTTTTAAAGAACTTATTTATTTATTTTATGTATATGAGTGTTCTACCTGCATGTATACCTGCACACCAGAAGAGGGAAACAGATTCCATCATACATGGTTGTGAGCCACCATGTGGTTACTAGGAATTGAACTCAGGACCTCTGAAAGGACAGTCAGTTCTCTTAACTGCTGAGCCATCTCTCCAGTCCCATGAATTTTCTTATGCTTGGAAAGTCGTGATGGATAATGGAAGGCCTTGCCACATACTTCACATTTGTAGGGTTTTTTTCCTGTATGAATTACCTTGTGTTTAGAAAGTAATGATGGGTAATGGAAGGCCTTCCCACATACTTCACACTTGTAGGGTTTCTCTCCTGTATGAATTATCTT